CAGGAACCAGATATGCTGACACCCTGGTTTGGATTTTCCAGCCTCCAGAACTGTGATACATGCACATCTGTTATTTAAATCACCCAGTCTGTGGCATTTTCTTACTGTGGCCTGAGCTAAGACACCACCTCTCTGAGCAGGTCTGAGACCTCTCTGAACACCGTTAAAAAAAATCAACCATTTGTGTTCACACGCTTTCACAGAAGACGGTCTCTCTCCATCTCTTGGGAAAATGATCATATTCACTGGGGTTTTTAGAAGCGAGACTCCAGACTTCCTAGTCTTATTTAAGAGAGAAATGTGAAGCTTCTCCTCCCCCTTCTTAATCTTCTCTTCTCCCTGTGTGGACACAGGAAGACTACCTAGTCCCTAGAGCTGAACAGCAAAGTCCTGTGTCTGGAGCTGGTGGTGCTGACTGGGGAGGGCGGGGAGTCACTGTTTAATTATTCTGCTCTGAACATCCTCCTGAGTTTCAGAGAGTCAGCGGTAGCTCTGTAAGGGGTTTTTTTCGAGTGATACTCAGTCTGAAAGCTTTGTAGTCCTGTCAAAAACCAGAGAGGATTACAGAACGGTTTCTCCTTTCACAGTAAAGCTTGGAGCTTGCTTAGAACAGAGACGGAAAATGATCACACAGCACTGGTGGAGAGAAAGCATGGCAAAGCCTTCTGGAAACATCGAAGGAACAGGTACACAGCCCTGGGTGGTAGCCTTGGCCCTGGCCGAGCTAAGTTCTCCAAGAATTGTCGAGGCGACTCTATTTCAATTGAATTTAGGAGAATCGGACTGAATGAATAAGTGGATGAATGGGAGAACAGAAGATGCTAATGTACAGAGAGAGTATGGTTTGTCTATCAGTGCTGCCAGAGGGAAACAATCTCTGCGGGACCTGCAGAAAGTCTGGGAGTGGTGCAGTGCAGGCTGATGAAGGATGACGGTCTAGGCAGAAAGCCATCCCTTAGTGCACCTGTTAAGATGTGCATCACTCCCTTTGTTTGTAGTTTGCTTTAAGTTAACTGGAAACAATTAATTCCATGGAATGAGCTTGGGGTGCTTCCCAACCAATCTTACTGTCGAACATCCCGAATTAAAGAACTTCCGTAGTTCCTTAAAGAACTGAAGATAAATATCTGAACCATGGTGGCAGACAGTGCTGACTACCAACCTAATAAAATTCCCCTTCCTTGTTAGGAAGGGAAATTCAATTTTGCTAGGGTGGTAATATGTTCAGCAGCACACACTCGCGCTGCCAGGCTCCCATGTATTTAGGGATGCCCTGTGATACATTTCTGCCTAGGGGACATAAATCGAAGCTATCTGGAAAATAGGGTGCTGCTCCTTCTCCCTTTCTTCTTCCTGCCTGAAATGAGGTGCCACATGCAGAGGTATAAAGGCCACCTTGCAGCCATGAGGTGACAAGCATGAGGTCCAAAGTCTATACACTGACGGTGACGGAAACGGTAAGACAGAAAGGCCATGACGCCACCCCACCAGCTCTGGACCTTTCCCTCCGTGTGACAAAAACCCAAGTGTTTTAGCAACTTTCTGCCATATTTCTTGCTATTTGTAGCCCGAGGTATCCCTGATGGCTACTTTCGGCTTGATCCAGTTGAAACCAGTCTGGGTCCTGATGCCCGGAGCAGGTTAAGGAGAAAGCAGTCTTTATCACACGTTGCCTGGGTACAGGCCGATTCTTCACGGGGTACGACACCTGTATGAGTCCCCACCGGTGGCAAGTCACAGAACCACTGGCTCACGCTAACATGTGATCCAATCACAGCCTGGGAAGGCCAGCGGTTAGGCCGACGTGGGTGCAGAGCCATCTGGTCTCAAGAACCCAGATTACTCCATCTCTTTGCTCAGCAATCCCTGGGAACTTCCATGTGCCAACTGAGCCAACCTATTAAAAGCTGTCCTTGGCAATGGCCCCAGAGTACTGCGGGGTAGATCTGGACACCTGAGCAAAACGGATACCTGTTAGAAAGAAAAAAGCAGCATCAGTAATCACAGGAAACCA